ACGTTTGGAAGTTCATCTATTTTGTACTATCCTTCATCTTTTATGTTAAGAGTGAAGAAACTGGACTCGTATTGGAACGACCTCTATGTGAGACCCTATGTTCGATGTGGGCCATTCATAGTAGGAGTGGCAGTTGGATACCTGCTAGTATATTTGACACGGAGTAAAAAATGTAACACTTTGGAGATTTCAAAGGTATGAGTCTAATGTTTTGTGTGCAATGAGAATTACCGTGCATATACGGTGATCGGCTCCTATACCAACCCAGATAGCATACTGCATGGTTAGTCTTATTGCTCGTTAAATGCTAGCTACTTTATGGCTAAAGTGCTTGCATTTTCGATTGAGTTCCTACCCAACAGTATAGTCGTGTACATCCAAGGGTTTCTTTTAGAAATATGTGGTAATTGGTTGGTGCATTTCGACAATACTTGGACTCTACGCAATCTTTGGTCTTTACGATTACGCACGAACAGGAGACATTACCGAATGGTGGAAAGCTCTGTACATCATTTCTGGAAGACACTCGTACGCCATCGCTTTAGGATGGGTCGCCTTCGCGTGCGCTACCGGTAACGGAGGTTCGCAGCAATCTCCCGTGATTTTGTTGAGATAGTGAACAAGGAAGGAATTTTGCAGGTCCTGTCGGAACTTTCCTTAGCTGGAAGTTCTTCATGCCTTTGTCAAAAATTACCTTTTGCGCGTACCTTCTCCATCCGATCATGCTACAAATCTACAACTTGAGTCGACCCCAACCATTCCACTTTACGACATTCTTCCAAATGGTAAGTGAGCTAGTTGAAGGGGGAGTAGGGATTACAAATGTTCTGTGTTTAGCTCCAGCACACGTTTGAAGCAGTATTCGTTTCCTACTTGTTGGCGTTCTTCTTCGCCTTAGCTTTCGAAAAACCTTTCACCGTATTTGATGAGATGTTGATACCAGTCAAGTCTCGAGCAAAAAAGAAGTCGATTGAACTCAAGATTTCGAATGGCGAAACAGAACCATTGAAAGCATAAGTATATAAAGTTATTTTCTTGAATAAAAATTTCAATTCGTGTTTTGATGCTAAAAACTTCAAACCGAAAAGAGGAAGGTACTACGCGTGGCAGAAATGCATGCAGCTGGCGAGAAGACTCGGTAATTTTACGATGAGAAAAAGAGAAAAAAAAACGACTTTTTGAGTGCTGAAGGTTTTGGCTCACAAACTGTTTTGAAGGCGTCAACGGAAGAATTCAAGTAATTTGTGATTTTTTGATAAGCACAGATTTTTGCTAAGTTATCCGTTTTAATCATTGTTGAGGCCACTTTATACCATTTCTTGGCCTTAGTTTTGCTAAAATGGAGTGTTCTTGCTCTATATCTCTATATTCAAAGAAAAGCTATCAAACTTATTTTACAA